ATGTATATATATATATATATATATATTACACAAGCTGTGGTACAGATATTGTGTCATTGGAATCATGGCTGAATAGGAAAACAGTATGAATAATACGAAAAGAACGACAACAACAGCATTTTCTGTCTAGTTTTCAACTCATATTTATCGAATTTTCAGTTTTTTTAGTGAGAGGAAGGGGGCACCGACACACACCGATGCACATGTCCGCCAGTGACATCGATCTTGAGCCAAGGCTTCCAAGATCTGCAACCAGCAAATATCCGCGTCTCTCGGACTCCAACCAGGTAGTCAACAACAACCGGCCGAGGCCAACTGTTTCGTCAGCTTTTTCATGCAGCTTCTCCAAGTTGCAGGCTGTCCACTAGACCGTCTCTTCCAGCCATGTCCAGCAACCGTAAACAACGCACGACGCAGGTAACGATGAACAGGCATGCACAATACGTGTCCCAACCAACGCTGTTGATGCAGTGAGACGAGCTTTTCGAGCGAGTTGTTTCCTCGTCCCAAGATACGCTGTCTGACTTTCACATTGAATACGTGGTGCTGCCTCCACACACGGGCAATGGACCACAGACAGCGGTACTGAAAGGCTTATAGTCTGCGCAAGTCAACTTTACGTATGAACCAGGACCCGCATCCGTACAAAATTACAACACGAACAATTGCACAATAAACCTGCCATTTAAGGGAGAGAGGAATGTCTTGACGACGCCACATGTGTCTCAGCCTAGAAAAAGCGAGGCGTGCTCTCAAAATGCGCATCGAAATCTCTTCTCCAACAGCCTTGCTAGCAGTGATGCAATTCCCCAAGTAGACAAAGCTCTCCACAACCTACAATGTCTCACCACCAAGAGTGAGCGCAGACACTGGCACCTGCCAGTCTTGAAAGACAGTCTTTCATTTGGATGGCGAAAACGACATACCATACTTTAATGCTGCAATCGTCAAGCGGTTTAGTGCAAGTTGGACGGCGTGTGGATCGTCACCTAGCAAGACGATATTAGCAGCATAATTCAAATCAACAACTCGACTACCAGGGAGGAGTTCAACGTCAGCGTTCAATGAATTGTCTAGAGCGTTCTTTAGGACATCCACAGTAACAAAGTTGAATAGGAACAGAGAAATAGGGCATCCTTGTCGAACTCCACTGGTGATAACAAAACTCGAAAGCTCGCCATAGGCTTTAGCTCTGCCTGACGTCAGACAATAGAGAGCGCACAGTACGGAGACCAACTTCACGTGTACGCCATTCCTCAGCAGGCAGTGTCATAGTACCGCCTAATAGACAGAATCGAAGCCTGCACGGATATCCAAGAACACGGCAATCGTTGACCTCTGACACATATGGCGGAGCTCGAGGATCTGGCTGAGTGTGAAGATTTGATCGATGCAACGGCGACCAGGGCGAAACTCAGATTGTTCTTCTCGCTGCAACGATTCGAGCGTTGGGAATGGCCTGCGATGTATGATGGACACCAGCGACTTGCAAACGACAGAGACTACGCTTATGTCTCTGTAGTTGGAGCAGATTATGCGCAAGCCCATTTTGTAGATGGGGACGACTATCGATTCACCCCAAAATGAGGGAACTTCCTCTTTCGGCCAAATTTTTTGAGAACAACACAGTGGTTTCTCGAACCAGCGAAGCGCCACCATCTTTAAATACAGCTGGACGAAGAACATTAGTGCCGGGGGCTTTATAACGCCTCATGTGGCGGAGCTCCTACTCGAATTCCTGTTAAGAGGGAAGCCCTGTGGGGGTAGACCAGTGGGCTCCAGTGCTAGCGCCGGTGATAGTAGATGGAGCCGGGTGCCAACAAAAGTGCAAGCCAAAATGTTCGGCCCTTCGCTCCAACCGTCGTTGAAGATTGGTGATTAAGGTGTTATCCTCTTCGCATTTTGTTTCACTTATACCAGGTCGAACACCTTCGGTGACTCGATTGAGATGAAAACTTTTCTGGTATTACTAGAGAGACTAGCAAGCTCTATCTCCTTAGCACGTTTACACCACTACGATTCGTGGTCCCTTTGAAGACGCCTGCGCAAATCTCGACCCAGGGATTGGCGTTCTTCACTGTGGCTGGAATCCGACGGAATTAAGCAGCGTTTGTCCATCAGCGACAGGGAGATAGCAAAAATCCAATGCTTCGGTGGGTGAACGGTAGCTCCACAAGTGCCGACTAGATAAGTTGAATAGTATGATCCGCAGTCCGTTACGCTTCCAAGTCATCTGTAGCTGATTGATATGTGGTCAAGCTGGGAGCACTCTTACGTTTGTGAATGCGAGCGCCAGGTAATATTGTGTCACCTCGAGTGCAGAAAACTGGCGCTTGCAAAACAAGCGATGATCAGAGCAAAAAGCAAACAGTCTGTCCCCATTTTCTTTTCGACTGCCACCAAGACTAAAACTACCACCAAGGTGGTGCTTGCCTGGTGGAAGGTGGCCCACTTGTGCGTTAAAGTCTCCGGCAATTTAAGGGTAGTGAACTGGTGAACTGGATCTCTCTATGTGTGTAGATAGATATTAGGAAATTCGGGTACCACTTGTTTAGCTGAGAAAAAAGCAAGAGTAGTGTTCAAATAATTCAACCTAGTTAGAAAGTCTAAGAGTTTGGATGGAAATGTCATCAAGCGAGTATTCTAATATTCTGGGTGGTTGCGACGAGCTAAGGCACAATTTTGGAAAGCTGTTACTCATACAAACGTAATAAGAAAGTGACCATTGCCTGGTAGGCATTTGATCTACTTTTTCGGTACAACTTCCTTAACTGGGGGTTCGGTTGATTGTATATTTTAGCAAAACTACCCATACTCCGTCAGTTCCAAAACTTCGTACTTGGTGGAGCGTTTACCAAGGAAACCATCAAAATACAGTTTCCGATCGAACTACATACACATAATTTCCATCCGCTGTCAATGGGTCTTGAGTCGTCCGAAGAAAAAGTTAACCCCACTGGAAATTTTATTGACCAAACGTCAAGTCACACGAAACAGACAAGGTTAGATGCAAGGTTACATTGTCCACAAGTCGCGTCGTATCTTAGCAGCAAAGAAGCAGCAAGAAAACCCACTTGTTATTGAAGGCTACCAGGGGTCACCAAGTTGTCATTCACGCACGCATATATCGGTCATATTTCCGGCCCACAATACAACCTAAATTGGAAATGTCTACCTGTTACATTCGTGCGTCGTTTTGTCCCAAATTAGTGGATCTCGGTTACCTGTTTGTCATCGTATCACCGCTTCCGTAAATAGCAGTCTGACAGGTCTGGAGTTGCTCGAAGGCTCTTGATTTGCATAAATGCGATTTCGTTACTCTGCCTACAGTTACTCCTCAATGTATCTGTAAAAGTTTTTTCTGATAAGGCTTTCATCCCAACAGTTCACACGCTACATAGCAGAGCCTAGTCCGGAAAAGCGCCAGATGCGTTTCGCCCTATTGGGGCTTGTCAGTGGCGCGCATTCCCTCGGTCCTCCAAGGAGGATCGAACCAAAGACTGCTAAAGGCAGATGCCAATTAGCCAGCAGCTCAAGCCACTGAGCCATGGGGGACGTTGGCTGGGCTACATAATTTGCAAACTAGCTGGGATATAGCACCACCTATCTACCACTGTCACTGACAGTGGTTAGCCTGCAAGCTGATGACGTCCTCTCACTAGACGCTATACCTATAGCATTTGAAACTAGGAGAGGCATTTTATTTTATAGTACTCATTAGTAGCAGGATTTTAGTTGTAAATCTGATAAGGCATTCATCCCAACATTTCACAAGCAACATAGCGAAACGCGTCTGGCGCTTTTCGGGACTAGGCTCTGCTATGTGGCTTGTGGACTGTTGGGATGAATGCCTTATCAGATTTACAACTAAAATCCGGCTACTAATGATTACTATAAAGTTTTTTTTCTGTTTCATGTATTGCCCTTTTAACCAATACCTTCGCTGTATTCCTTGGTTCACACCTGCTACCGTTCGTCGCTCACAATCCAATCTTCGCTCGTTCAGTAGGGTTTGTGTCGTGCTGTTTGCTCTCCTCCATGATGCCTGTGTCTGTTTTTCTTTTCGCTCGTTCTTGTGGCTTTCCGTTCTTCCGCATGATCGCTACCTTCCGCGCCACTACAAAAATATTGGCGACCTCACACCCATAGGTCGCATGTAAGAAGTGGGGGACTGAGCGTCACAGCCAGAAGCCCGCACTTACATTTGATTGTAGGGGATGAACATACGGGCCTAACAGTTTTTGCGGATACACCTAAACTTATCACACTAAGCCTCTGAAGAAAAACTCCAATTAAATCATAACAATTATTAACATGGTCATTCGGAATGCTTAGTGGCGCGTTATGATAGAGTTTAAAGCGCATGCTTAAACATGTATTAATGTAAGTCTGTAGACATTTTCTGCAAATTAGCGCTTCCAAGCTGCAAGAGTGCGCACTATGGTGAGAAAATGTGAGCCGCTCAACAGAACTATAAATTCCAGTCTTTCACTGACGGGGATCATCGTGCGAACCTCACGTACATTTTTACATGACTTGGGGTTCAACTTATCCATACTTTGAATGGTGAACCGTGTTGTCTCCGCCAACATTTTCAATATTGGCCAATGCAGATAAACTGATGAATTTCACAGTCGAAGTAACGCACCTGTGAGCTGCTTCGAATTGCTGCTTATAAGCTTTGCTCTTTTCATATCGTTTTACCGTCAACCATACCAAAATACGTACTTAGCTAGTACCCCACACTGTAAAATGCTGACAAAATTTTTTTATTAAAACCTATACTGTGTTACTGTTTAAATAGTTTTTCCGAAAATTTCGTCGAAATCCATTGCTTCAATGATTGCTGAGTTCCGTTGATGCCCTGTATTTGTGATGTACATTGGATTAATCAAGGCAGTAAACTAGACATTCCACTCTACTACCCATCTAATAAGACGGTATTGCAAGTTTAGCAGCTTGTTTTCTTTTACCTACGTTTTCACCATTTCTGCACTCAGCTGGTCAGGGTCCCAGTCCGGACGCCAATCGAACTAGAACACCAAACGCAACCATCTCAGGTTACGATCTGCTGCAACATGATGCACCGAGGCAATCTTCGATGTACGGGCTGCATGCCACCAATTCACTTGGTGTAATCAATTCGGGTGTGTGTGACGTAACACCATGCCCGATTGAGCATCGCCCAGTGTGCGGCACAGATGGGGTGCTTTATCTGAACAAGTGTTTACTAGAACAAGAGGCTTGCAAGAAAAAGCGTGGCCCAATCGGTGATGGATCTGCGTTTGTCTCCGTTCGTATCGACTATTCTGGCAAATGCATGCAGCAGAACAATGGGGGTAAGCACACTTGTATGCCTGAAAATACCTCACGGTACACGTATTATGATGAATGAGGCTGCGACACGATACGCTGGGGGTCACTCTACAGCCCGCTATGTACACGGTGCCACATACGAGAGTCAAGGTACAGATTGCTGGAAAAACTTACATTATGGAGAACCCTTGGTGGCTTTTAGTATACAGCAAAGTCACAAACGAACACCTAAAGCGTACAGGTACACACATAAATATTTCACCTCACATGACAACTAAAAGTTGTCCAGCTTAGCTGAACTTGTGCCCCTCTGGTTCGTGTGGTTATTAAATTGCAGTAGGTGGAAGCACAGCTGGTTGGATTTCCTCTGAATCTGTTAGAACATTATCAGGTCGCAACGTAGACTTCGAAATTGACCAATGTATAATCTTAGCGTACTCAGCTTATGTTTATCTAAAATCGGAGCAATCCTTTGCTGTGCATCATGGCTCTTCACTATGGAGCCTCAAGTGTAGAGGTCTATCTTGTGCCACCACTATAATGCCTGGAGCACGTAACTGTCGGAAATAAACTGGAGCAGAGTGTGCAATGACCATTCATACATAATGTGCAGGTACGCAGGAAATCAAGCGAAATTGAGCAGCCTGGGTGGAGCTGATGGTATAACATATAGCAGGAAAGTCCGTAATTGGACACTGTAACGTAAACGGCGCCCGTGTTTTATCAACTGACGTCACTCAAAATCGGAAATGCCAGCGTTTCAAGCATGTTCTTGTTGACGTTGCTTTATAATCCATCATCCATGAGACGCCAAAGCGCTTATGTCTTAAGATCAATTAGGCGATGATGGTCGGGTATGTTTCTAGAAAGTTGGCCGCGCTAAAGTTCTATGATCACTCCTCACCGATTTGCTTCACACTGTAGAGATTACATTAATTCGACTCAGATGTATCGGCGCTACATATTTTTCGGAGTATTCCTATCGTTCCAACGTCTGGTTCCCGTCCGTTTGTGTAGGATTTTGTTTCTGAAACTCAACACCGCAATAATTCAGTTTCACACAATGTCTGGACATTTTACACTGGGCGAAAAATCGTTGTTGATGAAAGCAAGTCAATCCAAGATAGTTATTCTCAAATACTATTTGCGGCAACCAGCTAGGATTTCCTATTATTCAGCATTCTCTTGAAATTGATCGATAACCAGAGGACATTCGCGACCTCTTGTGGCCTTTCCAACCAGTGCGATGGCGTAACACATCACACCAACCAACGCCGACACATCGTCTGCTAGAATGCCTTCATTTGATCTTTGCAAACACCTCACTTGTCTAACTGGGGAGCGCAACCGGCTAAAATCGCAAAAGTACGCAACATCCACTAGCTCACCGTGTAGGGTAGAGACACTATGCTGAGTAGCAGAAAACACTTAGATGTGAATCAAAAGGGCTGCAGGCAAATGGAAAAAGTGGATCTATAGAATGCAACGGATTATTCAAATTTGGTTTAGCCATCTTACACTGTTTAAAAGAGTATCATCTAATCTTTACTACACTTTCCCAACAACTGATGAGAGATACAGACAGCTCTTAGGGCGACCTCTGGTTTTGCACTGAGTTTCCGACCATCCCATTAGTCATTTGTATACTTCCCCTTGTCCAAATGTGCAACCGGTTAACACAAAAGTTGAACAGTGAAGGTACGCTAAGACTATATCACTGGAAGCGATTACGTGCCAGAAAACCACATTGGCCTCTAAGAAAACCGATTGTGCAAAATTTGCTTCGTCCGAACTACCATCAACCACATCCCCATCACCGTTATCTCCTTCAAACTTTGAAGAACGCCAAGCGAAAGCAGACCTGGGCTCTGATATTTAAACGTACGCAGTACTCCGAAAACCATGCACCAAACAAAAGGTGTGATCAATCAAATTCCGCCGGGCTTAACAACGTCTATCAATGAAAGGGTGGGGCAGCCGAACAAGAGTCTTCTGGATATGCAACTCAAAGGTCTCTGGTAGTGTTCGAGTCCCCCAGGACTTTAGTCACATATGAGGTGATCGCAGAGAACATTACTCGGGGTGCTTCATTTGGGGTCTCATTGGCTGCAAACGCAGCTAACACGAATAGTGAGACAAGGAGCAGACCATCATCACTTGGCATAAAGCCAAAACCATCGATCACGCGAACTTGCAGCTCAACAAGAAAAGGGCTAACAATAACGCCCTGACTGTTGTATGCACAAATATCCCGAATGTACCGCCATCACATTGAGGGGTAAGTTGTCTGACAACCAAGACCAGTGGTACCCACTGCAAAAGCCCAACCCATAAATTTAGTGTCAATTACTCGTTACGCGAACTCTGTACACTAGGGGAACCAAGCATTAGTAGAATAACACTTGAATCTCCCACTGATGTGGAAAACGTTTTAATCTCTGCAATTGTGTTAAAATTCCGGTTCTGTAGGGTGCGTATCTTTCCTTAGGTCCCTTGGAGCACGTGACATTCCAAAAGATACGTCGCTATGGGTTACAGCAAGCTGGATTGTCTAAGCCCAATATTTATATTTGGCGTGCCAGATTTTCATTCTAACGATAGTCAGGAGGCCGGTAATTACAATTTGGAACACTGGCTGTTCCATTCATGAAACATTTTTCTTGGACAACGTTGTAACGCGATCGCTCAAAAGACTACCTCTGTCACCAAACTGTAGAGGAAGGGCCCAGGAATCCTAATCACTCGGTTCAGTCAGAGCAAACAAGATCGCAGTTGTTAGAACGTTGACTGGGAAATCGTAAAAGCTTTTCATTTGAACTTCGGTTAAAAGCTGCTGAAGCCTTGCAAAAAACAAAAATGAGCCTACCTGAAAAAGCAAACCTACCAGTGATTACGCGGGTGCATCACTTTACCGCTCAGGCACGCGTTTCTGCAGTATGTTCGGACGAGGATTGGGGCGGACCTTACCCACGTTGCGGACGATATATCATCATTATTCCATCAAAAACTGATAACGACCGACTTCACATCGGTCGGCGTTCTACAACACTTGACACTTTTAGCTTCCTGTAGGCTCACAGAGACCGAGAAATTATCCTGCCTTTATACCAATGCTCAAAGCCCTTTCAGTAAGCTGACCGAAACGAATAATCACCACATTCCGAAACCCTGCGACATCTTTGGTTTCACGGAGATGTGGTTGCACACTGGAATGACGGACTCTGAAGCCTCTCTGCCGCCCATGTCTCTCACACAAAACAACAGGCCTAAGAAAGGAGAAGGGGTAATTCTTTATTACCGAAGCGACCTACGGTGCGTGGTCATGGAGGATTCGAGATCACAGTTCGCCGATTTCCCCTGGTGACGCTTACAATAACGTGACAGACGCAACCGTCTTACAGCTTTGGTGTACCACCGCTAAAACTCCACACTTAAACTGAACTTCCACCTTGCGATGACTTTAATATGCAGTCTAAAGCACACCCACATCTTTATCATGGGTAATTACAACGAACATTCTTTAGAAACTCCTGCTACAATCGGAGAAAATTCAATGCCAATCTGGAAGTGCTCATAACCAATGTACCACATTTCATTCACGTCATTATACCCACAAGTTTCCGAACAAATAATAGACTATCGTTGCTAGATCTTGTGTTCATCAACGAGGAACATTTGATTTGTGTACTAGTTCCAGACTGCCCTTTGGATCGTAGTTATCATGCAGGTATTAGTTTTGACTTGCTTTGCTATGCGGACGCTCGTCACGAGAATCCAGTGATGGTGCGCACTATTACACATTATGAAAGTTTCGCCCAGCGCTTCAGTGTCACAATCTGATCAAACCACATTGAAGGCTACTCGGAAGATGCTTACCGGTATTCGTCAGCAATTTCATTAAAGTGTTTACTGATGCTTCAAAGACAAGGGCTTGCAATCTACTTAAAACCGTTTCTTTCGGAAAGCGCAGAATCCGGAAAGTGCTGATTATACGCAACGCCAGATAACTGGGACAGCTACTTAGCCAGGCGTAAGCAATGCACTCAACTACTCCGAGATGACATAGCCGCATATCAGCAGAACATAGCAAAAGTTTCAAAGCTGAACATGAACTGCCGTACAAATATAGTAATGGACTTTATAAATTGAGACAGGGAATTCCTCCAATCCAGACTGCTGATGTTCCCAGTAGAACAGACATAGAAGCAGCAGACAAGTTTCGGGCGCAATATGCTCCCACATTTCAGTGGGTTTCAGTTTCAGACAACCCCCAACTTTTGTTTTCCCACCTTCAGGACTAATTTACATCCCTTTTACTGCTGAAGCTGTATTGCAGAATCCGACGTCTCTGCGCAACCACACCATCCTCATTATGCACGTTAGCTGGAGGTGGGAAACACCTCAGCTACTCTGCCACAACCACAGCTCCCCGAGAATCGGGATAATTCGCCCAGAGGAGCAGCAGCTAGACAAATGGCACAATCGTTGATCCAGTTGGTTCAGCGCTGCTTAGATAAAATTCAGGTTTCTGCCATGTCGAAACTTGGTATAGTAACTCTGATTCACAAAGATGGAAGTCAAACGATTCCCTCAAAGTGCGGCTCAGTATCTCTTCTCACTGTATCGTCCAAGTTAATGGAATCCGTCGTTGCCTATGCGTTTGTGCCTTATCTAGTACACAGTAACTTTATTGTTACCGAACGACACGACTTTCCTCGACAGCAATCGTGTACAACGAATTTATTAATCGCGCTGAGTAGCTGGACCAAGTCATCTTATGCTGGAGAAGTTGTTGAGATGACCTACCTGGACTTGTCAAAGGCATTCGATCGTTTGGATCATCTGATTCTCCTTTCCTAGCTCTTTTGAACTGGATCACCAACTTTCTCTTCCAACGACGGTTAGTGGTTAGAGTCCGAAGTGCCGGTCGAGTGTGGTGTGCCCCAGGATTCAGTGCTGGATCCACATTTGTTTTTGATATTTAGTGGTGACCTGCAACAAACAATAGCTTCAAAGTTCCTAC